AAGGTCTTGTTTCAATCTTTTGCATATCGCTTTCCAGTTCTGCCAGCACCATCTGTTGAAGAGACTATCACTTCCCTATGCGATACATTTAGGTACATTGTCAAAATTCAATTGGCTGTATGTGGATGGGTTAATTTCTGGATTTTTGATTCTGTTTCATTGATCAGTGATCTTTCATTGTACCAGTACCAAGCAGCTTTGACCTCTGTAGCCATATAATACATTTTGAAGTTGCGGAGTGAGAGGTTTCCAACCGTATTCTTCTTTTTAAGCAGTGCTTTGCTTATCCTGGGTCTCTTTCCATCTCTTTGAAAAATGTCGTTGGAATCTGGGTTGGGATTACACTATATGTGTAAATTGCTCTGGGCAGTATTGACATTTTCACAATGTTAAGTCTTCCTATCCAGGGGCATGGCACATTATTTCATTTTTGTAAGTCTCTTTTGGTTTCTTGTAGTAGTGTTTTGTAGTTTTCTTTGTATAAGTCCTTTGTTTCTCTGGTTACATTTACTCCTAGATATTTCATCCTTTAGGCAGTTATTGTAAATGGTATTGCTTTCCTAATGTTCTTTTCAGTGCTGTCATTTTTGGTATAGAGGAATCCAACTGCCACTTGCTGATTCTAGAATGAGGTATAGTAGCTTTTTTACTGACTCTGTGGGGTTTTCTATGCATAGCATTATCTCGTCTGCAAATAGAGACAGTTTTACTTACTCTTTGCCAAGTTGGATGCCTTTAATTTCCCTGTCTTGCTGTATGTTGTTGTTAAGTACCATAGAGTCGGTTCCAACTCATAGTGACCCTGCACAGGGTTTCCGAAGCTGTAAATCTTTACGGGAACAGAACGCAAAACTTCCAGCACAATACTGAACAGGAGTGGTGACAAAGGGTATCTTTGTCTGGTTCCTGTTCGCAGAGGGAAGGCTTTCAGTTTCTCTCCATTGAAAGTAATGTAGGCTGTTGGTTTTATATATATGCTTATAATTATGTTGAGGAATTTCCCTTCAATTCCGACTTTGTTCAGTGTTTTTATCAGGAATGGATGTTGGGTTTTGTCAAATGTCTTTTCTGCAGC